TACACTTTTCTTCATAATTATGCGCTTAGTTTTAATATTTACAAGCAGGATAATAAAAAATATTTTACTCGAGTACGTGGAGAATGGGCGATACCTCTGAATAGTTTTAAAATTAGTATGGAAAATCCGAAAAGGAAAGACAGTAAATGTGTTCTTGTAGTTAGTTAGTTCATGAAATCTTAACAAGCCTCTGAGAGGTACGCATGCATAATCACTAGTTGTTTACAAGTATGAATCTAGCGAACTTCGTCACCGGAAAACAAATCTGCTCTATAAAAGTAATTTTAACTTCTTTATACATTCATACATGCATATACTATAGGGTGTTTACTGATGGCAAGTCTTTTTATTTTATGTCGAAACACTTACGAGCTTTCAATAAAAAGCATCTTTTGAGCTACGCCTAATGGATTTATTAACTTTGCCACTAAATAAATTCGAAGCCTTCGTACTTTAAATCCGTTTCGATCCGCTGCTCCGGGAATATTGTGTGCCCTTCAACATCGAATGCTGTAATGTAAGTAGATGTCTTACCGTCCAATTCCTCAGTTTTAAGAGCAACTATGATTTTATCCTCAGTGTTTGGCACGAATTTAAAACTAGAAAATCCATGAGTAGGCGCCGAATTCGAGGCGTCTAAAGGAACTGTGTGGATTTTTGTAAATCTTTCATCTGCTGAGATAAGCAAGTTACATCCCATGTGTTCGTCACGCGTTTCATTGTACCTGTAGAAACAAGTGCTCGATTAAGTACAAAATAAATATATTTGTACGACTTACTTTTCTCGTGAACAACGTCTTGGCAGGAAATACCATTTTTTGTGGTAGGAAGACCACGTACCACTTTCGTGTATCATATAGCCCGGCCAACTGATTTGCATTGCTTCTTGTCGTAAATATTTAAAATTGAAAGCCCAGTCCACGGAGCGCACCTCACCAGTCTGTGATATAACCTTTACATACATTGGGTTTTCATTTTCGAAGTCCCCAGCACTTGTCGTCCATTCTTTCCCCATCGAGCCAACGTATAATTGTTGATCCTTCACTGTAGCCCACTCTGCTTTGAAACCCTTAGAGTTGAGTCCATTACCATCGAGTAGAATAATCCACGGGATTGGCTTTTCATTGGTAAGATCGTATATAAGACCGGTCCGATCATCAAAGCTAAGTAGTTTTCCATTGAAGGTTACGAGCTCCGATAGTTCCATGCCACGTCCTTTCAAAGAGAAACTAGATTCCAAACTTATAGGCTCACCTTCGTCCCATTTAATTGTGATTTCTGGCTTTGATTTACGATATATCAAGTATCCTTTCTTCAAAAAGCTACGCCAAACCAAGCTGCCGTCTTTCTTAACAACCTTTGAGTTGGTATCTAAATCAGCCACCATAGCAATGCGATATGTTACCTCACTGGCGTGTGTTACCAACGGGGGCGTTAGCGGGTATTTGTCGCTGTAGACTGCAGCATCTCCATTGATCGGCGAACTGCTAAAAGAGCTACTGTGCGTTGAGCTGCTATAGCTTTTCAGCCATGCCGCATCTGATGAGGATTGTGACCCAGTGCGTACGTAAACAAATAGAAAGCACAATATAAATGCGCAGGCAACAAGCAGAGCAAAGTGATAGTTGAAGCGTAATGTGCGATTTCCAATTCGATAGGTGGGAGGCGTTCGCAACGCTGAGCGCCAATCGCGAGTGTACATGACAGATCGTGAATGAGATGAACCCGTGTGATGTGAGGTGCGCGGAGTACTGTCGAGTTGACGATATGTAAAAGAGCTATTATGGACTGGCGTGGCTGTGTTATGGCTTGGATTAGTGTACGAACTGTCGATGCGTCCGTGGAAACTCATTTGTGCACTCTTTGTAGCCACGAGATAAAGCTCAACTATTGGTCCGTGAAACGCACTTCTGCATCACCACAGATATTTGTATCAGCGTTTTCAAAAATTATTTATGTCCACCCATGCTAGCGAACTGGGGGCACTCACTTACGTGGATATTTTACGAGGCTCTCTCAAATAAATAATGGAATAATAACAAACGTTACGGCCTTGTTTAAAAGGTTACACTATATAGATGCTGATGTGGCATTAAATGAAATTGTATACTAGCAATTTTTTAAGCTTACTTGTTGAAATGCTATACTGTAATTTTTTAACTTTCCTAATGGATATTTGATGTTAGAAAAGCAAATGCAAGATACATAAATACGCCTTTATGAAAACAAATTTTTTTCTGAACAAATTGTCAAACA